AGCAACCTGGGATAGTGGAAGGTGTTCCTGCCCATGGCAAGGGGGTTGGAACAGGATGAGCTTTAAGGTCCCTTCCAAACCTAACCATTCCACAGTTCTAGGATTCCATGATCTTCTCAAATGCTGTCAGCAGCAGCACACTGGGCAGGACAGCCCATCCATCTAATCCAGTGGGGCACCTGTTAAGCTTTCACAAGAGATTTTGAAACCAGAGCTCCCAGTATCTTCTATCTAATACCAGTACTTCCCTTTAGTTTCAAAGCTCCACCACCCTGCAAACATTATTTGTGACACTTCAATTTTGCTAAAACATCCTGCCACATGTGTTATGTTCTGCCCCATAACACGTGCCATCATAGAGTCATAGAAACATTTAGGTTGGAAAAGACCTTTCAGATCATCAAGTCCAACTGTTACTCCAGCACTGCCAAGCCCACCACTAAACAATGTCCCAAGTGCCACAGCTACACAGCTTTTGAGTCCCTCCAGGGATGGTGACTCCACTACTTCCCCAGACAGTCTCTTCTGTTCCGTCTCTGTGAAGAATTTTTCCTCATATGCAAGCCAAACAAATTACTATTGCTCATCAAAACATGCACCTTCCTCAGTGAAAGGCCTTACCCCAAATCCAACCAGATCTGCTTGCACTCCAGGTCTGGCTGCAGCCCTGCAGCCTCATTTCCACCAAAGTAAGTGACATAGAGTCTTTCAGCAGGAATGCCAAACTCCTTGGTGAGAAGTTCCAGTGCCAGTTTACAAGCGAGTTCCTGCAGAAGGAAAGATGAGGTCAGCAAGTGAGTGCAAAGACACCTTCTCTTCAACATCCAAAGTACTGGCCACTGCAGGTACCAGCAGGTAAACTGCCAAAAACTTTCCAACCTTTGACATAAGAGGCAAATTAATATATGCAGTGAACAGAGCACAAGAAACATCTCAAATGACTTTCCTGATGCAGCCAAGTTAACTCCTAGGCATGTTTACTGCCCCCAAAAAGCCTTTTAATTCTGCTGTTGTTTTGTATTCCTAACATCCTCCTTCTGACTTTGAGCACTACACTATCAAGAAGCTTGGGAAAGGACATCATCACTGTATGATCACTCCTGTTTGAAGGTCCACCATAGCTGCACAGCACACGCAACTCCCCACAGCTCCAGGACAACCCCTAAAACCTCTGCCTGAAGACTCCAAACTAGCAGAGTTAATTTAATCAGCTTTGTAAACCTTAAGTAATTAATCTCAAATCATTCTGCAGGGTTGGGGCAGCTTCCAACCTCATTTATCCCAAAGGAGCCACAAGCACCTCTGTGCCAACATATTCTCTTTCCTCTTGGCAACCGCTCTGCTGAGTTCACAGAGATAAATTTGTGCCAGAGATTCAGAGCTGCACCCAGCCTGCTTTACCTTGAAGTAATCCCCAAAGGACCAGGACCCCAGCATCTCAAAGAAGGTGTGGTGGTACACATCTTTCCCCACGTCGTCCAGGTCGTTGTGTTTGCCCCCTGCTCGGATGCACTTCTGAGTGTTGGTGGCTCTGCTCAGTTTAGCGAGCGGGTGTGAGGGGTCGATAGTGTTGAGGAAGATGGGTTTGAACTGAGAGGAGAGAAAAAAGGGCAACTCAGACCAGCACTCAGAGCCTGCTTCCAAATGTTGCAAGGAACAGCAAGGCAGTGTGTGTCATCTGTGTGACAATATCACTGGCCTGGACGCACTCAAGGCACCCTTCAGAAACAAACCTGCTGCTCCTGCCTGTGGCAAGGCTGCAGCACTGCCTAGAACTCAGCACTCACACATACACGTTTCTGGAGCTCACTAAACCCTGGAACCTCCAAAGGGACTGGAAGCTGTCAGATTCCCAGCTGCCAAAAAATAAAAACTAGGTGCTGATCTGCAGCACAGCCCTTGCAGCGGGTCAGTCCCAACTGCTCTTTAAAGATGCCATTAGTCCTTTGTGCCAGGACTGGCTGTGGTACAAAGGGTCAAGGAAGGGAGACTGGCAGAACTCCCATCACAGGGACCTCTCTTCCAGTGCTCCTGTCAGTTCTGTGAGGGCACAGAGGATTCCAGCAGGACACACCAACCACCTCATTGTGACCAGACGGAAGACAGAGAAAATAATAATTTCCCACACAAAAAATTCCGCAAACAGCCTCAAGGGTTTCAACGGGATATGTTCGTAAGGACCGCAGTGCCAGGGTGGGAAACCTACCTGATTCATACCAGCATTGGCAAAGAGCAGCGTGGGGTCGTCCAGGGGGATGGTGGAAGATGAGTGCACGTAGGTGTGCTTGTTTTCCTTGAAGAAGTCGATGAACCGCTGCCGGATCTGGCTGGCGGTGAGCGTGGCCTCCATCCTGAGGCTGCGAGTCACCGCTGTCCAAAGCAAGCGGCGGGGAAGCGGCAAGGCCTCGGTGCAGTCTGAAGAAACAACAACAAACAAGGCTCTGACGTGTTGTTGGCTCAAGCTGAACATGAGGATCATTGTCTCCATCTCCTGAAAGGGTCCCCTCCACATTAAGTACTCACTGTCTCCTCAGTTCAACCATCGGTCTGCCCCAAAGAGCGCTGGCCCAACCCCAAACTTCCTCTCTCCCAACCTCCCTGATTTCGGGGCTCTACATCAAGTTATCTGTTCTTTGAAAACACATTGTTTTAAAATTGCAAATTCACATCGATACTGAACTTAATATGTCAGTTTGTGTTGCTGGGGACATGGATGGAGGGGGGAACTGCCAAGCCGACAAAGCACTCAAGGTGAATAAATGCAAGAGTGGGGAGACCTCATTGCAGCCTTCCAGTATCTGAAGGGGCCTTGTAAAATAGAGGGAGAGCAACCTTTTACATGGGCAGATAGTGATAGGACAAGGGAGAACAGTTTTAAACCAAAAAAGGAGAGATTTAGGTTAGATTCTTCTAGGTGAGGGTGGGGAGGCCCTGGCACAGGTTGCCCNGAGAAGCTGTGGCTGCCCCATCCCTGGAAGTGTCCAAGGTCAGGCTGGATGGGGCTTGGAGCAACCTGGTCTCGTGGAAGGTATCTCTGCCCATGGCAGGGGGGTGGAACTTGATGAGCTTTAAGGTCCGTTCCAACCCAAACCATTCTGTGATTCTATAATTAAACCACAGAAGAGCCAAGTTCAGAAATGACCCCTGAATATCACTTTGTCCGCCCTCCCTGCTCGAAGCAGAGACAGCTCCAGGGATGCCTGGAAGCCTTCCCTGGGAGGACCCACATGCCCTCAGGCACCCCAGAGGCAGTGACAGCCTGCAGGGCAGCACCGCCCGAGCGTCCCACGGGTGCACAGAGCTGTCCCTGTCAGCGGAGCGCAATGCAGATACACGGAGGGGGGGCGAGCTCCCAGCAGCGTGCTGCGGCGCCAAGGGACGGGAATTCCCCACAGGAGCAGGGCCTGGGAGCAGTTCATTGAATCACAGAATCAATGAGCCTGGAAAACTCCTTTGGGATCATCGAGTCCAACCTCGACGCTGGAGGAGGGAATGACCCGAGGAGGGAAGGACCGCGCACAGGGCCGACCAGAGGCCCTGCCCGGACACCGCCCGCTCTCCAGTGCCCGAGGAGGGGTGGGGGAAGCGCTGGGCCTGCCATGCCCCCGCGGGGCCCGCCATTCCCCCCGCGGGCCCGGCTGGGGCGCGACCAGCGGCACCGCCACCACCACCACCCTTCACCCTCCCCCATTATCCTCCCTCCTGCCCTTCTCCCCTGGGCCTGGGGGTCCCGGGCGGGCCGTGGCGGCCAAACTCGAAGTGCAGACCCCCCGTGTCCCCCCCGACCGTACCTGCGCGGCCGCCGCCGCCCCTCGCCCCTCACCGCCGGCCGCCGCAGCGCGCGCCCCGCCCCGCCCCTCCGCCGCCGGAACGGCTCCCATTGGCTACCGGTGCTGTCGCTCCGCGCAAGCCCCGCCCCGCCGCCGCCGGGGCGGGCCCGCCACCGGCTGATGCAATGGCGGGAACGCGGCGGCCACGTGACGCGGCCGGGCTGAGGCCGCTCTGGGCGCCGCCATTTTAAGGGTGCCCGCCCTGTGGGCGCAGTGGGGTCACCCTCAAAAATCGAGCTTGTTTTCCCCCGTGTGCAACGAGCCAGAAGTGACACACGAGAGAGAGAGAGATTGAGAGAGAGAGAGAGAGAGAGAGAGAAACATTGAGACATGAGAGAGAGAGATATACTGATTCCTGATTTCAGAGCTGCCTGAGCCTGGATGCTCGTTGGTATTCCACAAGCCCAGCACTCCCCACTGGACTTTTTGCACCATTATTTGCACGCAAATTCTGAGTTAGTGACTTTGCAAGCATTACAGTAACTTTTCAGTCTGCTCTATTAGGATTGATTAGTAATTCCCATACAAATCACACAACCCCAGATAAATTCTGCGCACGCTCAGGGCAAGGGTCTTCACCTGGGCATGGTTCTTTCGACCTGTAGGTGTGATTTTTAGTATTATAATGAAGATAGTTCAGGTCTAGGACACATGGACCTTGAGTATTTGGCCAAGTTAGCAATGTCATCCCTAAAGCTTATTAGTTCCAGAGTGTCCTTGAGTAAGGGATGCTGGCTGCTGCCTGTTCCACTGATTAGCCCTCCTTTCTTGCTGATTAGGCTTGAAAGTATACAAAATTCTAACATCAAAGAACATCCTGACTTGAGATAATCTAAAGACACATTCCACATTTTGCAACAATGACGGTGCGGTGCTGGACCAAGAGCTCTGGCCACCCAACACAGCCCCACTCCCTGCCTGAAGCCTTGGCTGTTCCCATGGAGAGAGCATCTCTTCCCCAGTGGATCCTTTCTGCCCCTGGGCTGTGATTCCTGAGCCATCAGCATGCCTGTGCTGCTGTCCTTGGCCACCATCGGTCAGCCCTTTCCAAAGGTCATTTGGTGCTTGCCTCCCCTGCTCAGCGCTGGCCCACAGCCATTCCCACCATTCCTGGTCCTGCAGCCTTCTTCACTTGTTTCTATTGTCTCCTTCCCAAGGAGCCTGAAAGGAAAAGAGGAAACTCCAGTCTTATTGGTTCCTAATGGGAGCTCTGCTCTGGATGCTGGTGGCAGATAGCAGCAGGAGCAGGCAAGTCTGTGCAGTGCAATTGCTTGCACAGGTGATTACACCCTCAAGAACGTCTGCTACAGCAGGTCTGACTCCAACACCACCCAAATCCACACCCAGCACGCTTACTTCTCATGGGGGCCATAGTCTGGCCACTACGATGGAAAGAAACATCATTGCTTTCTCCCCTCCATGCTCTGTGTCATCTTCCAAACCCGGGGCCCCTTCACTACCTTCCATGTATTTTTTTGGTGATCACCAAATGTGGAAGCACTCAATACCCAGGCAATAGGCAGTTCTGTCCCCTCTGCCAGGCTGAGCAACAGATATGTCCCACTGGGCACATCCAGATGGGATGGACCCATCCCCACAACTTTCCTCTGGGTAATACAGGAGACACACAACCTCACGTGCCAAAAAGTCAGAGACCTCTTGATCCTCCTGAGACCCTGGCTCTGTTTGGGGCAGGCGAGGGGCCAGAGCTGGTGCTGGCACTGTCCCCATCCCCGTGGGCGCCCGGAGCCACACCCTGAGCTGTGCCTGGCTCCTCTTCACGCCGAGCAGGCGGCAATCCTGCCATGTGTCACCACCCGGCGCGGAGGCTGCGGGGATGGCTGCGCTGGCTCGGAGCGTCCTGGTGACGGGGTCCAACCGGGGTATCGGGCTGGAGCTCGTGCGGCAGCTCGCCGCCAGCCCCTGGCCCCCTCAGCACATCTTTGCCACCTGCCGCGACCCCGAGGGTCCAAGAGGGAAGGTCAGTGTGGGCACAGGGCACGGGGATGGTCCTGAGCCAGGTGGGCAGAGGGAATCCACGGTCCCCATAGCCCTGACAGCTCCCTGCTGGCTCTGGACCTGGCTGGGTCACCCCACAGTGGGGGCAGGAGTGCTCTGGGGGGGTTTCATAACCCCCAAGTGCCCTGGATAAGGCAGTGCCTGAGGTAGCCGGGTGGGATGAGGCTGGAGAGGCAGACATATCTTCAACACTCACTCCTGGCTATGCCAATGGGCAGACAATCCCTTCTCCATGCTGGGATCACTCAGGATGGGGGGCAGTGCCTAAGTCCAGCAGCACCATTCTCCTGCTGGCTGTGGGGATGCTGCCCTACCCCATCCCCTGGGAATGGCCCCCCACACTTTCCCCAAAGAAAGCAAAGCCATCCTGGCTCAGCGACCCGGGAGCAGGGGTGGAACACCTGGCTGTGCTGCCAGTGACTTCTAACCTCCTGCCTGCTCCATCATTTTTCCAGGCCCTGAAAGAATTAGCTGCCCAGCACACCAGCATCAAACTGGTCCAGCTAGGTATGGAGCAATCTTTCTCCTTTCATCCAGCATTGCTTCCAGTCATCTGCTGGCTTTGGGGATGGGACCAGGGGCAGCTTGGCCAGGAAGCTCTAGCCCTGCCAGGTGGGGAGGGATCTGTGGGTAGGGATCCATTCACTTCAAGTGAAGCTGTCCTCTGGTTGGGGCAGTCGAACTGGATTCAGAGGAGGCAGAGGTGGGTCCGGACACCTCAGCTGAGCAAGTTTCATGGGAAAGGCATCTCTTCCCAAAGATGCTAAATACAGTGGCCAAGTTTTGGGCTGGGACACATGGGTCACAAAGCAGAGGAAGGCAGGGCACAGCAAGCAAACCTACTGGATGGTTCCTAAGTAGGAGAGTTGGTTTGAGATCTGCTTGGAAGTGGCCACGGTCAGCATTTCTTTCACTGCAGGTAAAAAAGGGAGGAAAAAAATAGGTTAAAAGGCTGCATATGGGAAATCTGGCCTTGTGGTGGTGTTGGTATCCCAGGCTGATGCTTAGACCCATAAGCATGCTCCAGTTTGGGATGTCCACATCCTAGGCTGGGGAGATGTCCTCTTGTCCCTTCTGTGCTCCCATGGAAGTGGCCTTTGGCAGCAGTGCTTGGGAGCAGCAGGAGAAGGTAGCAAATGGACCTGGACAGCACAGGGACTTGGGGAGAAAAAGGAGACCAGCCAGAGTGGTGTTTGGAGTTGGCAAAGTCAGGAAGGAAGCTTCCAGGGTGCTGGACAGGGCTGGGGGCTCGCGGGGTAGGACAGTGTTGGAGTGAAGCCTGGGGAGATAAGGAGCACCAGGCTGAGGAATGTGATCTCCTGTGGATGTGTTTCAAGGAGGCAGAGATCTCCTGTGTTCTCCTGTGTCTGAGAGAGTGGAGGCTGCTCACAGATGCTCTTTTTATTAATGACGAGTTGGTTAAAAACCCCATCCAAATCCAAAAGAAGTGTTTTGGGAAAGCGCTTGCACCAGAATTACCATTGCTGTAATAAGAGAGGTGGGGAGCAGCCAGAGCTTCTAAATATTTCTGAGTATTTCACTGTAGTCAGTGATAAGAAAACTGAATAAAGGCCATGCAAAGACTGTGTGAGTATCTACCTACCTACCTACCTATTTATTTGTTTGAAAACACCTGAAAAGTTCGGGTTTTCAAAGTTCAGGTTTTTTAGCATTTCTTAGCAAATAAGACATTCCTGAAGTCAGGCTTTCACTACAAAGAGGCAGCAAATCTCTCTCTTGCTTTTAAGTAGATTATTAAAGTAAAACACCTTCTCTGTAATAAAAGATAAGTGAGCTGTGAGCCCCAACTGGCAGTACATGATGGGAAGTAAGCTCACTAAAGCATAGCCAACATAAAAACAAACATCTCAAAGGACTGACCACTACATAAACAACCTCTACTAAAAGACATACGCCCAAACCCCAGACTATCAATTAAGTCCCAAAATAAGCTAAAAAAACCCGAAGAATCAACAGCAACGAAGTATTTTTTTTTTTAAAGAGAAGCTGCTTCAGGCTGTCTTGCTCCATCTTAAGGAAAGGTTGTCTCCAAACCAGCAACAGGAATGGACTTTTCAGAAAGGAGTTAAAAAATAACTCCAAAATGTGTACGATCTGTCACTTCTTTTTGTTCTCTCTTTCTTTCTTATCCTTATCTCATTTCCTCTAATGAGACAAAAGTTTACTCCTTAAGCAAATTTGGTGATTTAGAACTAGAAATGTGCTGGTCCCACACGTGTACCCCTCAGAGCAATGACTCAGCTAATCCAAACAGAGCAGTTAATCATTCACCAAGTGACCAAAAGATCCCTCACTGTGGTGGAGAGCCTTGAACTTCATCCGATTTATCCAAAAAGAAGTCATTCCAAAGCTCTCTGTCCTGCAGCTGGCCATGCCCTCTTGAATCCCAAGGCTCTAGCCCCTCACATTCTCCTCAAATGTTTTCAGGACATCTCTGTGCTGCACAAGGCAAGGTGGACACAAGTCCCATGCCACTCACATACCTGCTTACCACCATAAAGACACCAGGCTGGCTAAAAATGCCAGGAAAAAGGGTGGTTCTGCTGCTCGTCAGTGCATGAAATACTCCAAGAAGGGAGTCTTCAGCCTTGGAAACCTCTGCTAAGTCACTCTTGTCTAAGCATGAGAACAGAAACTCAGCTCAGGGGCCAAAGTGTTGCAAAAAAGAGGAATCAAGCCCAGCAGGCTCATCAGATTGGCATCTGCAAAAAATGGGCACAGAAATGTGCAAGGGGAGCAAGGGCACACTCCAACATGCCCATATGCTTGAATATTCACGGTTCTTAAGGGATCAGTTGAGGTATTGAAAGGCAATATATAACATTTAATGTTGGCCTAACCCACCCATTGCAGATCCTGAAGATGTTTAGATGACCCTTTTAAACAAACAACAGCCACTTCAGTGGGTGAGCACCCGGTAGGGGACACAAATCCCAACAAGCAACCCCAAAAGCTGAACACAAAGTTAAAAAAATACCATTTTTATTGCCTTAGCCAAAAAATCCTGCAATAAAAGCATGGCAGAATCTCAAAACCAGTATTTAAGCAAAGAGGAAGGCATTGGGGATGCTTATCCCTGTTAGCCCAATTTCAGTTGTTTCTGGTTGCTTGAGAGGGGTTGTCCCCACAACTTGGCCAGTAGGGATGGGGAAATTCAGACTCAGAGCCTGCAACCAAATACTGCAGGTTACATCCCAAATCTTTTATTACTTGTACTCACCTTAGCTCATATGTGAGCTCCAAATCCTTGTGAGTAACAACAGGAAGCAAATAAAAATCTAAACAGAAGAAAATAATAGGAAAAAAGATGGATTTTTGCATACCAATGGCTGCAAAACTATGGGAAGTTGCTCTATGGAATATCAATTTAAGCACAAATTGTTTAAAAAGGCAAAGGTAACTCAAAATGTTTGATCAGAATGGTATAAAACAAAGGATTTTCATCCAATCTAATAATCTCTTCTATGTTAACAGCCCCTATAGCTGCTGTGAAGTACAGAAGGGCTTGAAGAGCATAGTTTGGTTGTTTCCCCAAAGATGGTGTCTGTCCTTAAAATGTGCCCATCTATGGTGGTTTCCAGTAGAAATAAATTTGGGAGTCTCAGTGTGCAAGTACCAAGCATCCCTTCTGCAATCATAAATTCCTTGAGTACAGAAAGCAAATACAGCAAGTTTTTCCTACTAGTAGCCCCCACACAGCCAAAATGGGTTGAATTGAGTTTTAATTTGTCTGCGAAACCAAGAGGTGAGGACAAGCTACTGATCATTTCAATGTGCTTAATAACCTGACCTGCTAAACCCGCTGTGTCCTTTCGGGACAATGCTGGTTTAGAGAGAGCCATTCCAGCCACAGCACAGTCTCCAGTGGGTGCTGTGTGACCTGCAGGAGCTCTGCTCCACTTTGCTTTTTGCCCTGGCAGACACAGTGAACCTGCCCAGCATCCGAGGGGCCGTGGGGGCTGTGGGGTCTCATCTGAAGGACCAGGGCTTGAACCTGCTCATCAACAACGCAGGTGTCAGCTCACACGCCACGCTGCGCTCCGTGGATCCCCAGGAGATGATCGCCGTGTTTGCCACCAACGTGGTTGGGCCACTGCAGGTTACCAAGGTACATGTGGACCTTTTGGGTTTCTCCTGCTTGGGGGGATGCTCCCTGATGGGAATAAGGCCACCTCCATGGGTCTCCCCTGCCCACCCAGGGGAGCTCGGCAGCGCAGCCCAGCCCCGACACCTCCCTCGCTTTGTTCCTCCCCAGTTGGAGCTCCTGCCCGCCCCAGGCTGGCTGTGCCAGCTCGCTTCTTCCCTGGGGAGGGGAAAGGCTGGAGCCTGGCCACTCCTTGGGGCATCCTCCCCATCCCCTGCCCTTTTGCCAGGGGTGTCTGTCCAGCTGCTCATCCGTGGTGTGTGACAGAGCCCTCCAGGGCAGTCCCCAAGCTGGGAGCTTGTCAGGCCTGAACAGAGCGTGGGTGTCTTTGCCTCAGGAATTCCTGCCGCTCCTGGAGCAGGCGGCGAAGGACAAAGGGAAGGAGGGGCTGAGCTGCGGCAGGGCCGCGGCCATCAACATCTCCACCAAACTGGCATCCCTCGGGCTGTGCCTCGGGGTGCCGGAGGCCCCCATGTACCCGTACCGTGCCAGCAAGGTGAGGGGCCAGGGGAGGTGCTGGGGACGCTCTGCCGTGCACGGTGCCCGTGGAGGGGGAAAGGCCATGGGGGCACCCCCTGCCCCGCTCACCCACCCCCTGCCTGGTTCTGCCAGGCAGCAGCACAGAGACCGGGACAGCAGCACCCGGCACTGAGCCTTCCAGGCAGGTCGTGCTGATGCTTTGCCCAGGGCCCAAGTCCCATTTCCCACCTCCACAGCCATTTTCTGCCTGGGAAATGTGCCCCCTCCTGCCCACCCGCACCCCGGGTCGTGCTGGCAGGGCTGTGCCTCTTCCAGGCTGCCCAGAACATGGTGACAAGGTGCTTGGCTGCGGAGCTCCAGGACAAGGGGATCTTGTGTGTGGCCATCCATCCTGGCTGGGTGAAGACTGACATGGGGACGGAGAAGGTACTGGGCTGTACAGGGGAGGGGCAGCAGAACTCCCCCTGTATCCCCATGTCTTGGGGAGGGCAGGGGCACTTGGGGGATGTTGTATGGGCTGCCAGGACCATCTCCTGGGTTGGAGCAAGCAGGGAGCAGGCAGCAAGCAACACAGCCAGCCGTGTCTCCCCTCCTCCCAGCCTAGAGAACAGAGGGGTGGCAGTAAGGAAAAATATCCCCATGAGCACTGTGGGTGCTGCTCCCAGGCTGCACACCCTCTCCTCTGCCCAAGAGCTGCTCTCTGTGCTGATCACAGCCCATGGCAGTGAGGCTGTGCCTTGTCCCCTCCTGCAGGCACCGCTGACGGTGGAGCAGAGCGTGCGGGGCATCCTGACCGTGCTGGCCAGCCTCTCACAGGACGCCTCCGGAGCCTTCCTCGACTGGGAAGGAAACTGCCTGCCCTGGTGATGGACAGATGGATGGTTTCTCTTGCCCACACAGCAGCCTCCCGCTTGCTGACTCACCCCTCTGAGTGGTCACCCTGCTTGCCCTCAGCCCATCCTGGGCTGTCAGGGAGAGGGGAAGGGATTGGGAAGCAAGTTCTCTCCCCTTCCCCATCCTCTGCATGACCCTGTAGTCTCTCTGTACCCCCCATCTCAGTAAAGTCTGTGAGCTAATGTCTCTCTGCTCTGTCTCCACACACCCAGCCTCAAACTCCCCACCCGAGCCCGGCACATGCTCGCTGTGCACTTCCCAAGTGCTGTGTGTCTGTCTGTCCCACCTGTGACCAGGCATCCCCCAGCTGAGGGGAGAGGGCAGCTGGTCCCCATGACCCCCAGCCCCTTGGGCAGCCCAGGCTGAGCACAGCCCTAGGGTGCCCTGCAGCTGGAGAGGGGGAAAGCCAGCCCTGCAGGTGTTCAGAAGATCTTTTGACTCTATGGAAGGGCCTCTGCCCTGGCTTCTCCAGTGCCTCCTGGAGGAGAGGTCTCCAGAGGGTTGTTACAGTGCCATGGGACCTGCATGTTGTCACTCATGAGAGTGCAACGACAGCCATGGATCTGGTGGCAGTTGTGGGATTGAGGAGTGGGGCAACCAGGAAGGGGCCACCCCATGAGCTGGCAATGCACAGCAGAGCTGAGGGCTCTTGACAGGGGTTTATTGAGGATGTGGGGCAGATGGGAGCAGCAGCAAAGGGTCCCGCTGCCAGGATCCTGAACTGGTGTCTCACCAGGGCACGACCTTCCCTTCCCAGTCCAGGAAGGTGCCGGTGTCCTTCTCGGAGAGGGAGGAGAGCACCTTCAGCATCCCTTTCACGCTGTCGTCCACTGTCACGGGGGGCTGTGGGGCAAAGGGGGAGAGGCAGCCTGTGCCCAAGGCCTGGCTGAGGGCCCTGGAGCAGCTGGAGTCAGGGGAAGGACCCACTCCAAGGCAAGGGGAAAACAGACAACCCCAGGCAGAGGGGCTGAGCAGGGAACCGAGGGGATGGGGGCACCCAGCACCCAGGACCAGGATACGGAGAGCTGTCCTGGCAGAGATCAGGTAGGATGGGAAGTTGTGTGCAGGGAATCAGGGCAGTAACTTCCATGGAAAGTCAGCACATGGGCTCTGTCGGAGCCACCATGGTGGAATTCCTACCGTGTGTCCAGCAGAGCTGCCCATGTCAGTTTGCACCCAGCCAGGGTGGAGAGCGACACAGAAGATGCCGTGCTCCTTGTATGCCAGGGACTGGCACTTGGCCAGCATGTTCAGAGCAGCCTGTGGGGAGACAGGGCAGGGATGGTGGTGGGAGGGGAGGGGGTGCTGCAAGGGGACCTGCGGCTGTGGCACAGCAGGGGAAGCAAATTTGTCCTCAGCACGGTGTGACAGTACCTTGCTGCAGCGGTACGAGGTAACTTGCATCAA